TATGTAATTATTACGTAACGTATCCACTCGATGAGTATTATACTATTATTGTAAAACGTATATATATTAGTGTAGAGCCATGATGAAAAACTAATTGAAAAGAAATTTCTTCGCTCAATTCGTTCCTTCTTCATGTGTATTTGTAGGTAGTATTGGTCACTGGTACGTATATGTACTGGAAGACAATATCTGGGTGACTATAGAAAAGACATTCTTTTTACTTGTGACATTATATAGAGAGAGACATGTACGGAGATTATATATACACGTGTTACATCGGTTGTAAGACGGGAATGACAGTAATGACATATTGTACATTCGATTCTCCTAAAAAAATTTTGGGAAATTTTATTCAACCACAACATGCGACAGGTGGGTATCAACTAATGACGACACAACAAGTCATATTTTATGGAAAAAAAGTTGCTGTTTGAATGACTATGTCCAATGTTTGTTATCCGCCTTCGCGTTTATGAACTTCTCGAAACAAGTAAGGACCTACAAGGTGTGACAATACCTAAAACATGGAATTCGCAACATTAAACTTTGCATCAGACAACTTATATATCAGTGGATTTTTTTCATATGCCGGATAGTTGCATTCATGATTTAGATGAAAATTCCTACCAGGTTCATTCAATTATCCAAATATAAATGCTGGACACTCACATTTAATTAATTAATTAGGGAAATCCTTATGATAATGATTATTTTACTTTCCACATCAATGACCTTATTCGTAGTTTCGTTTTCACAATCAATGCTTGAATAAAATAAGTTCTTTTCCTAAATGAAATGTATTCAGTGTACACTTTCATTAATCCTGAGAACCAAAGAGATTTTGATATTCTTATCATTACCAAAGTATTCAGTAATACAAAATTATTAGTAACCTTCGAGAACTAAATGCTATCACTCATAAGAGGAACTGGTGATATGTCACACTTAATTTAAAATGGTTCGTAAACCATTTATTGGTGCTAACTGACTTGTTAAAGGTAACATGTCCAGTTGTACTTTTACTAATTTGCTTAATTCTCCAAAATCTATTTGGTCAGAAGAAATGGTACAACGCTGTTAAACTTTAAGCGAATGAAATCTTAGCTTTCGTTGAAACTAACTATTCGTACGTGCAATTGTTAAATTCTTTAAAACATAGTTTGTATATTTCAAATGTGTGATATAATTCACTATAATAATACTGATAATGGGGAAAATATGATATTCTCAATCATTTATCGGAAATAAACTCATTCACATTAATCTAAGTGCATAACTTATGAAGTACTAGGCTAACTTATTGTTTGGTTTGATGTTATATGCTAGGATTTGTATCAATGTAACTATGATTTAACATACCAATGAAGTACCTACCTCGGTCTGGGCATTCAGGCAGTATCATAGCCCACACACAAATCAAGTGACTTGCGTGGCGCATATGTATTTGGTGTCCCTTTGTACCAATATTTATGTGTTCCGATAAATAAACTAAATAAATAATTTAATGCAAATTCTGAAGTGATCATTACACAGAGTTTCAATCACAGCAACATTACATTTACCGTACTTGTCCCATTAAAGTTTTCAACAAGCAATATGGCATGAGAGACTTATACGGGCAGATATAAGTAGTATGTACTAAGGATTAGAAGTAGGATCCTTGCTGACAGATAAGAGGAAGAAATATAGTAGTCCGAGTAGCAACAAGAACGGAAGAACGATGGAGTTTGTAAGTAAAAAATTACGAAGATGTACAAATTGTATGTTCTATATACTGTTTTCATATTTTAAAAATGCTGTATGTGAAATCTTAATACGATAAATTGGTTTACACTAACCTAGTCTTTGTTCATTACAACAATTCATATGGCAGAGATAAATTGCATCGGATTTATCAAATACCATTCAGCCCACAAATGCCCTGGTATGGTCGAGAGTGGAGAGGGCCCGCATCCCCTACCTCTCGAAGTGCTCTCACACGACCACGCGTATACAGCCCCTGCCACGGAAGTCATACCCACTGCCTTCTCGTGGCAGGGGTGTTGTTTACGAAATCGAGAGGACGAAAAGTGAATGTTCGGCGCTTTACTGGGCCGGTGGACAAGGTAAATCCACCAAATGGAGTTGAAAAACCCTGATTCCGAACCAATGGCGCACATGGGCTCCAGTATCCTGAAGGAACAAATGGCGTATGAACCAACTGTTGGTCACCGGCTACCATGGGACTGCATCTCCTTACATTGCTCCACTGCCTTGTGGGTCAAACCTTTAGGTCAAAGGCTCGGGGTGTGGCACCATAAGAAAACCACCCGCTTCTGTCTGGGCACCTGGGCAGTATCATAGCCCACGCACAAATAAAATGAAAATGACGATATTTACTAAAAATACTGTTCACGCTTCGATTAACAGTCAAACAATTCAAATTGTTATTATTTACCACGTCACTTATTCACTCTCTTTCATTGCCACTTTGTGTACCCTTATTTTTCAACTTACACAGCAGCTCGCCCGTGATGGAAACTCTGTTCTATCTAAACGATCTCGAGTTACTGACTGGTTGGAAATTGAATGCTACTACCGAATACGATTACTGAAACAGTTTTTCTGAAACCACGTGCACCATTCAAACTGGCTGCCTTCAACGTTTGCACACTTGTGCAGGTCGGACAACAGATAGGGTTGGCTGTGCCTTTAGAAAGTCTTAATATCGACGTTTGTTGTCTATCTGAGACCCGTATTCAGGACTCTGGTGAAGTACTACAAATTCGCTCTCCATCTGTCGCTTCAAAAAGCTTGTTTTACATGCGTTTATTCGGGGACAGTGTGGTATCTTCGTCTGGTCTAGGCTAGCTACCACTCCACCGAAAAGTATAGATGAGCATTGGTTGCAATTGCATGACGCCATGAAAATGGAGAGTAAAGCCGTTTGCAGGTTCGCGAAACGTCCCGCTTATAAGCACTGGGTTTCTTCAGGCTCCTTACAACTCATCGAAGCCCATCGGTCTACTCCGGGTAACCATGTGTTGGGCCACAAACGAAGGATGTTACATAATGAAATCGGGCAAAGCTTGCGTAAGGACCGAGAAGCCTGGTGGTCGGAGCGTGCTAATGAGCTGGAAGCAGCAGCTGCATGTGGTAACTACCGGGAGCTCTTTCAACTCATCCAAGCCACTGGCAGCAAGAAGTCTGGTGTGAGCGAGATCATCTGTGAGGATGACGGGATGCCAATCACTAACATCCATCGGCGTCTTGTACGATGAGCAGAATTCTTCGAAGGGCAGTTCAACTGTCCTGCCCTTCATGGCCGGTGACGACTGATACACCAAATGAGACGAAAGTCCGCAAGGAACTCCAACTCCCGAAGCGCTACAAATCGCCGGGCCCATATGATTTACCTCCGGCCAACAATCGTAGTGTTTCTTGACATTAGGGCTGCTTTCGACTCGTTGGACAGGACTGTTCTCTGGGATTGTCTATTGAAGAAGGGTGTGCCTGAGAAGTTTATTAACATCCTAACGGCCCTATATACAAACACCTCAGGCAGAGTGAGGGCATACAACCACCTCTCTCCATTGTTCCATCCGACCAGTGGGGTTAGGCAGGGTTGCCCAATCTCACCATTCCTCTTCAACTTTGCCATCGATGACATTCTGGAAACAGCTCTGATGGATGTAAGTAATGGCGGTGTGGATCTGTTGCCTGGAGAAAGACTTCTCGACCTTGAGTATGCGGATGATATTTTCTTACTGTGCGATAATGCCAAACCCACGCGATCCGCACTTAATCAGTTGGCAATCAGTGTCCGTAGGTACGGTATGTGCTTTGCACCTTCGAAGTGCAAAGTACTTCTACAAGACTGGCAGGATTCCAATCCTGTACTCACCCTGGATGGTGAGCAAATAGAAGTAGTCGAGAAGTTCGTGTATCTGGGTAGCTGTATAATTGCTGGTGGTGGCATGAGTGATGAGATCAATACACTTAAGTGAAAGCCAGAGCGGCTTATGCCAATCTGGGCCACCTTTGGCGCCTTCATGATGTTAGTCTGGCTGTAGAAGGTCGGATCTACAACGCGTCGGTGAGAGCAGTTTTGCTCTATGCTTGTGAAACCTGGCCTTTTCGAGTTGAGGGTGTTAGACGACTCTGTGCTTGATCGTCGCTGTCTCCGAAGGATTGCTGACATCCAGTCGCAACATGATGTTAGTAATTCAGAGGTTCGGCATCGTGTGTTCGGGTACAGAGACGATAATCTAATTGGTGTCACCATCCTGAAACACCGACTTCGGTGGCTTGGACATGTTCTACGAATGTCGTCCCAGAGAATCCCTCATCGTGCATTATTTGCCGACGCTGGGACTGGTTGGAAAAAGCGGAGAGGTGGTCAGTGCATGACATGGTGTCGTGGCATGAAAGAAAGCTGCAAAGGACTGGCTTGTGTTGGTCCTTCACGACTCCCTTGTTGGGGTCTGAGAGATGGTGCTACACAGTGGCTAGAGACGTTATCAAATATGGCTCTGAATAGAAGCTAGTGACAATCGTGCTGTAACCTTCTATTACTTTCTTCATAAAAAGTGGTTGGAACTTCCTTAACTGAAGGAATTTTTCTGGTTGTACCTTTCCGTTTCCCCCATTATTATTATTTTTATTATTACACTACCTTACACTAATCTGTTCGTTTTTGTTCTTTTTTAACGCTATATGGGCTTAACACAGTAACCGACACTATAATAACACTGATTTTGTAAGATAACATGAACGACAGAGCAGATTATTTGATATATACTCATAAGGATAGAGTAAATATAACTGACCAACAAAACTTAATGGCTATATTGTGAACAAGTAAACAAATGCAACACAAATCTATTTGTTCTGCATACCTTGAATAAACTGTACAGTTAACCAGTATTCTTATTTACGACGTTTAGAGTAGTAGCGACCGAGACCAATACCCAATAGTGCAGCTGCTCCCAAAACAATTCCACCAACAACTCCTAAGCCGATCATCCCAACTGGAAAATAAATAATCAATGGACAACCTCAATGATTTGATCACGAATTCCCGGATAAAATCCGAAAAATTCAATTTATTTTCAAACTGCGTACACGCCTATTTTAATAATAAGTGAAACAGCAATGGTGAGTCAGTGTTCGAAGGAATTCCAACACAGAAGGAATAGCTCGATTGATCTCGACTGTTGATGCCACCTTGACGTGATGGTCGGGCTTGCCTATCATGATGAACCAATCGAGCTATACTGGCTGGAAAAACCGTTCCTCAAGGTTCTACCATGTCAGACAGACCGGTTGAAGAGCGGTAAGACTAAAAGCAGCAAACCCAAGGTCCGAAGGCGAAGTCGTACTGCTACATGTACAGAGGTGTGACAGCAGTAAGGTGTTTCCTTCAGACAACCAGCATAACAGCAGTGCTGCCTTCCCACAAGGAGCGGTGGGGTTAGAAAAGGTCGACCCTAGAAACGCACACCTCACCTTATCCCACGGATATCCGTCTCCGGCGATAAGGTCTCAACAAGTACGGAGCTGACACAAGAATTACCCATAAAAAGGCCGTGTGTGACCGACCTCAAGCAGTTGTCCCTTGGGCACTGCGGTCACGCTCCCAGGTCACTAAGACCACCTCTAATCCAATTTCCTTTTCAGGTACCTCCAGAAGAACCCTTCCACGGCGTGGGCAACCGAGAAGTGACAACCGCCCTCATACCTCTAACAGCAATCAAGACCACTGTATTCATAATCAACCTCCGTCTTCACTTCCTATTATTCCTCCTACATCGACCTTTCAACACTAAACTTCCTCTTTCGGCTTCCCCCTCAAGTGTCACTATAGCCAACGATTCTAGTGCGCAAAATACTCCCAGGTCCACTGAAACCTCGCTCCAAACTACACATTGGAGCCTTCAACGTACGCACCCTATGTCAAATCGGTCAACAGGCTTCCTTGGCTAGAACCCTAGAATCTCGTACCATTGATGTATGCTGTGTCTCTGAAACACCCATACAGGATCCCAGTGTGGTCATTCACTTGACCTCACCTCTCCAAAACACGGGGCCGCCGAGATACACCCCCCGTGTATCTGGTGACCCGGCGGCCAGCTGTCGTGGACTGGCAGGAGTCGGGATAGCACTAAGCATGAGGGCGTAACAAGCACTGTTAGAGTGGATCCCCGTTAACAGTCGTTTATGTGCTATTAGGCTAAACGGCTCCGTAAGAACTTGGAAGGATAGGGACACACGTCGTTGCCTTTTTGTCGTTTCTGCCTACGCTCCCACCGACTGCACTCAGATGAAATGAAAGATGAATTTTACAGAAAGCTATCTGGACTTCTTCAGAAAGCTAAACGTTCAGACATAGTACTCGTAGCAGGTGACTTTAATGCCCAGATAGGTAGTTTAAACCAAACAGAAAGGCATTTAGGTGGGTATTTTAGTATTCCGGCACAACGAACAGATAATGGTGATCGTCTGCTGCAACTGTGCTCAGACAATCGTTTATTTTAAGCATAAGGAGAGACATCGTCTAACATGGCGATCCCCTACACCAAACCAACGATGGACTCAAATAGACCATATTGCCATCGGTCATCGTTGGAGAGGGTCGGTAGAAGATTGTCGCTCATTCTGGAGTACCTGCTTGGACTCCGACCACGCCCTAATACGGGCACGCATTTGCTTGCGCCTCACTGGACGCGAAAGTCACACTAAAAAGAGCCATTAGAACTGAATCGAGTAGCGAGAAAACCAAAAGTAGGTTCCAGGAACAACCGAGGTCACACTTAGGTAGTTCTGAAAACAAAGCTGACCCAGATGTTGCTTGGGAAGATATACAAACGTCTGTGGAAACAGCAGTGACATCTATCCGTGATTTAAACCACAGGGTTACAAAGAACCAATGGATTTCCTCAAGGTCTATTGCACTGATGGATTCTCGTAAACTCATCCCATCAGGCTCTGAACACGATGAAGAGCGACAACAAAGCAGATATAGGTTAACCAAAAGTCTAAGGAACGACCGTGAGCACTGGTGGGCAACGAAAGCAAAAGATATGGAAAAGGCGACGGCTGTAGCTAACACCAAACAGTTCTTCAGACTCATAAAAGAAACTGGAATTAATAAGTCAAGTGTAAATGAGACTATCTCGGAAAAAGACGACACCCTCATCTGCTCTCAGTTCAGACGTTTAGAACGATGGGCGGAACATTTCAGAGAACAGTTCAGCTGGCCTTCAGCTACTCTACAACTCCCGATCGAAGCTGCTACCTTGACGCGGTGGTCGGGCTTGCCTATCGTGATGACCCAACCGAGCTATATTGGCTGGAACATATGTTCCTGTAGGTTCTACCATGCCAGGCAGGTCGATTGGTGAACGGTAAGACTAAAAGCAGCAACTCAAGGTCTGAGGGCGAAGTCGTACTGCTGACTGTAGAGGGGTGTGACAGCAGTAAGGTGTTTCCCTCGGACAACCAGCATGACAGCGATGCTGCCTTCCCACAAGGAGGGGTGGGGTTAGAAAAGGTCGACCCTAAAAATGTCACACCTCACCTTACCTCACGGATTTCCGTCTCCGGCGGTAAGGCCCTTTGAAGAACGGAGCTAACACGTCAAAAACCTTCCACAAAAAGGCCGTGCGCGACCGGCCTCAAGCAGTTGTCCCTTGGGCTCTGCGGTCACGCTCCCAGGTCGTCAAGACCAACACTAATCCAATTTCCTTTTCAGGTTCCTCAAGAAATACCCTTCCACGGTGTGGGCAGCCGGGAAGTGACATCAGCCCTCATACCCGTAACAGCACAAGAGACCAAGGTGGTCACATTCAAATCCTTCCTACACCTCCTAATACCTCTCTTATCTCCATGACTAACCCTCCTCACGTCTCTTTATCACCTCGCACCGCTAGGGCAAACGATTCGAGTACGTGGAACGCCATTCCTGGTCTCCTGAAACCACGCTCTAAACTACACGTAGGAGCTTTTAACGTACGAACACTTTGCCAAATAGGACAGCAGGCTTCCTTAGCTAAAACTTTAGAATCTCGCGCCATCGATGTGTGCTGCGTCTCCGAAACGCGCATACAGGATCCAAGTAGCGTCATTCATTTGACCTCACCATGCCAAAATAAAGAACCGACTCGATTTACGCTTCGTGTATCTGGAAGCCCTGATTCTGCTTCCCGTGGCCTCGCCGGCGTAGGTATAGCATTGAGTCCTAGGGCAGAACTAGCTCTCTTAGAGTGGATCCCAGTAGACAGTCGTTTGTGCGCTGTCCGACTGAACGGAACAGTAAGAATCCGGAAAGATAGGGACACTCGTCGTTGCCTCTTCGTCGTCTCTGCCTATTCTCCCACTGACTGCAGCTCAGATGATGTAAAAGATGAGTTTTACAGAAAGCTTTCGGACCTTCTCCGAAAAGCTAGGCGCTCGGATGTAGTAATAGTGGCCGGTGACTAAGCGATAGGGAAAGACACCTAGGTGGATCTTATGGTGTCGTGGCTCAAAGAACAGATAATGGCGACCGTCTGTTGCAGCTATGCTCAGATAACCGCCTGTTCCTTGCAAATACTAACTTTAAGCATAAGGAAAAACATCTTTTAACATGGCGACCCCCGAATTCGTCCCAACGTTGGACCCAAATAGATCACATCGCTATCAGCCACCGATGGAGGGGCTCGATAGAAGACTGTCGCTCATTCTGGAGCACATGCCTAGATTCAGATCATGCTCTAGTGCGAGCGCGTATTTGCTTGCGTCTTACTGGACGTAGGAAAGACGCTGCAAGGAAACCTCTTAGGGCCTACTTAATGATAGTCAAGCTAAGAGTATATTTCAGGAACAACTAGGAAAACAGTTAGGCAGCCATGTATGTGATGCCCACCCCGATGCAGCATGGAATGATATCCGAAAAGCTGTGGAAACAGCAGTGATATCTGCTAGTAAGGTAAACCAGAAGGTTAGGGAGCAACACTGGATCTCAGCAGCATCTATCGCACTGATAGATGCTCGGAAACTCATTCCACCTGGCTCTGAACATAATGAAGAGCGGAGTCAGCTTAAGCGCAAGCTGACAAGAAGTCTACGCAATGATCGCGAACAGTGGTGGGTAGCGAAAGCAAGAGAGATGGAAAAGGCAGCGGCAATAGGTAATAGCAGACAATTGTTCAGACTCGTTAAGGAAACCGGAATTAGGAACCCGACCGTTAGCGAAACAATCTCAGAGAAAGATGGACATATTATTCATTCTCAATCCAGGAGATTGGATCGATGGGCAGAACACTTTAGGGATCAGTTCAACTGGCCTTCAGCCACACTTCGGTTTCCCACGATCTCTAGTCAACCTGAATGGCAAGTTAATGTAGGTCCTCCGTCCCTTTACGAAGTTGAAAAAGCCATAGGAAATCTGAAACGAGGGAGAGCAGCAGGCCCTGACAGGTTTACTCCTGAGATTTTTAAGGATGGTGGTCCAGTATTAGCAATGAGATTAACCGAGGTCTTAGGTAGAATTTGGGAACTGGACGTAATCCCATCTGACTGGTCTCAATCACTGATTGTGCCAGTCTATAAGAAAGGACAAAAGTCCTCTTGTGACAATCACAGAGGAATCAGTTTGACTAATATAGTGTCTAAAATATTAGCTTCAATAATACTTCGACGCCTAATCAAAGCTCGTGAAGAGCAGACTAGAGAAAACCAGGCTGGTTTTCGACCTGGACGTGGTTGTATAGATCAGATATTCACACTACGTCAGGTTCTAGAACACAGACACACATTCAGACGCCCCACAATGGTAGTATTTCTCGACCTTAAGGCGGCATTCGACTCTGTTGATCGTGAGGTTCTATGGCAGTGTTTGTCACTGAAAGGAGTACCAAAGAAGTACATTAACCTTATAAAGGCTCTCTACTCGAACACAACTGGTAGAGTGAGAGCTTATGGCGAACTGTCATCAGAATTGATTACCTCAAGTGGTGTTCGTCAGGGCTGTCCACTCTCCCCATTCTTGTTCAACTTTGTGGTCGACGTACTTTTAGAGATAACACTCTCCTCATCTAAATTTCCAGGGGTTGAACTTCTACCAGGAGGTTCACTTGTTGACTTAGAATATGCTGATGACATAGTTTTATTTGGTGAAGACGCTGACAAAATGCAGAGTCTTCTGACCACTCTAAGCAACAATGCAAGCATGTTCGGGATGCGATTCTCTCCCTCGAAATGCAAAATGTTGCTTCAGGATTGGGTTACATCGACACCCGAACTAGTGATAGGGAGTGAAGTAGTTGAGTGTGTCGACCGCTTCACTTATCTTGGAAGTCTCATCAGCCCTTGTGGTTTAGTGTGTGACGAAATCTCAGCACGGATACAGAAGGCTCGACTAGCTTTTGCCAACTTGCGTCATTTATGGCGTAGGCGAGATATCCGTCTATCAACCAAAGGACGTGTTTACTGCGCAGCAGTTCGTTCCGTCCTACTTTATGGCAGTGAAACATGGCCGGTAAGAGTAGAGGATATCCGTAGGTTACTAGTATTTGATCATAGGTGTCTTCGAAACATTGCTCGTATATCATGGGACCATCGAGTAAGTAACACAGTTGTTAGGAAACGGGTACTAGGTAAGGATGGCAAATCAATTGATGAAGTAGTGAAACTTCATCAGTTGAGATGGCTGGGACACGTGTTACGTATGCCCAACGACCGACTGCCTCGACGTGCTATGTTCAGTGGTATAGGAGTAGGTTGGAAGAAAGCTAGGGGCGGCCAAACCAAAACATGGCACAAGTCCATGAAGTCACTGACAAGTGAACTGAGTCATGTTGGTAGGTGTAGACTACCTGGTTGGGGACCGCGAGATGATAGCAACCGATGGTTAGAGACCCTGAATGACATGGCTCAAAATCGTTTGCAATGGCGCAGGTGCATCCACTCTCTGTGTTCTCCCAAATTCTAATCTTCTGAATTCTTCATGTCCCTTTTTTCCTCTTTCCAAATTTATTTCACTGGATTATACTCTTTAAATAACATCTCCAAACCCTAATCTTCCCGATTACTGCTTATACTCTTACCTCTACCACTACGGGATTTGAATCGACAACTGCATCTCTGTGCTAATGTGGTGTGGCAACTCGAACTGATGTACGTACGTACGAAGTTCTACATTGTTACTGACTACTCTACAACTACCCATCGTCCCCAGATAGCGTGGATGGGACATTGAAGTACGTCCCGCGACTCTATCTGAAGTTCAAAAGGTTATAGCTAATCTGAAACGAGGAAGAGCAGCTGGTCCAGATGGATTGGCTCCAGAGGTCTTTAAGGACGGTGGTCCAATTTTAGCGATTAGGATGACTAATATTTTAGCTAAAATCTGGGATTTTGACGTAATCGCACCTGACTGATCGCAATCACTTATCGTCCCAATATATAAGAGAGGGTCAAAATTATCCTATGACAACCATAGAGGGATTAGTTCGACTAATATAGTATCTAAAATACTAGCCTCAATAACTGTTGTACGCTTAACAAGGACTCGTGAACTGCAAACACGAGAGAATCAAGCTGGCTTCAGACCTGGTCGTGGCTGCATCGACAACATATTCACCACTCATCAGGTTCTAAAACACAGGCATGCTTATCGGCGTCCGACAATGGTGGTCTTTCTTGACTTAAAAGCAGCATCTGACTCTGTTGACCGAGAGGGTCTGTGGCAGTGTCTGTCATTGAAAGGCGTACCTCAGAAGTACATAAACCTTGTGAAGGCTCTTTACTCGAACAATACAAGTCGAGTCAGAGCTTATGGCGAACTGTCATCTGATTTTGCAACCTCAAGTGGTGTTCGTCAAGGCTCTCCACTATCTCTATTTTTGTTCAACTTTATCATAGACATACTGATGGAAATAACGCTCTCGTCGACTGAATTCTCGGGTATTGATCTCCCACCAGGAGGTTCACTTATCGACTTAGTAGTCGAACGCGTCGACAACTTCACTTATATTGGAAGTCCGATCAGCCCTAATGGGTTGGTGTCTAACGAAATCTCAGCACAGATTCGAAAATCTCGTTTGGCTCTTGCCAAATCACGTCACCTGTGGCGAAGGCGAGATATCCGTCTATCAATAAAAGGACGAGTATACTGAGCTGGAGTCCGTTCTGTTTTAATTCACGGCAGCGAAACATGGCCATTAAGAGTAGAAGACACTCGTAAGCTACTAGTATTTGAGCACATATGCCTTAGAAATATTGCTGGCGTCTGCTGGGATCACCGGGTAAGTAATAGTGAGGTTAGACGCAGGGTATTAGGCAATGATGGTTAGTCAGTTGACGAGGTTGTGAATCTTCATCGATTGAGATGGCAATACTGACCAGTGTTGGGGATGGTTGAAAGAAAGTTAGGGGCGACAAATTAAAAAGTGGCATCAGTGCTTGAAGTCACTAACTTCTAGTCTGAGCCATGTTGGTAGATGGAGACTACTTGGTTGGGGTCCGCGTGACTATCGTAACCAATGATTGGAGACTCTGAGTGACATGGCTCAGAATCGATCACAATGGTGCAGGTGTATACACTCTCTGTCTTCCCTTAAACTACGAGATTAAAGTAGCTTCATATCTTTCTTTCTACGTACTGATTCTTCCTTCCTATACTATATCCGTATATGCAATCTTTCTTTTAAGTATTACCACCACTGAATGAACTATTTCTATGAATTTGGTGTACATCTTTTTGTGCTAGTGATGTGTGGCAACTTGGACCGATGCACATATGTGTATCGCTGTCTCCGAAGGATTGCTGACATCCAGTCGCAACATGATGTTAGTAATTCAGAGGTTCGGCATCGTGTGTTCGGGTACAGAGACGATAATCTAATTGGTGTCACCATCCTGAAACACCGACTTCGGTGGCTTGGACATGTTCTACGAATGTCGTCCCAGAGAATCCCTCATCGTGCATTATTTGCCGACGCTGGGACTGGTTGGAAAAAGCGGAGAGGTTGTCAGTCTATGACATGGTGTCGTGGTATGAAAGAAAGCTGCAAAGGACTGGCTTGTGTTGGTCCTTCACGACTCCCTTGTTGGGGTCTGAGAGATGGTGCAACACAGTGGCTAGAGACGTTATCAAATATGGCTCAGAATAGAAGCCAGTGGCGATCCTGCTGTAGCCTTCTATTACTTTCTTCATAAAAGGTGGTTGGAACTTCCTTAACTGAAAGATTACTTCCGATTGTACCTTTCCGTTCCCTCATTATTACTATTATTATTAGTACACTACCTTACACCAACCTCTTCGTTATTGTTCTCCTTTTTTTCACGCTCCTTACATTTTTTTCTTTTTGAATTCTCATTGTTTTGTGTGGCGCATATATATTGGCGCGCTCTTGTACCAATATTCATGTGTTCAAATAAATAAATAAAAGTGCTACATATCAATTAACGACAGCAGCAAAGATGGTAGGGGCCAGTTTTATGGCAGACTGTAGTCAGTCCTAGGGAAGAACGAGAAGACACTAGTTAGAAAGAGCTGGACAGAAGCATAGACAGTCAAGGCTCGGGCTAAACATGTAAAAGCATACAGACGAGTGAGGAAAAGCATTAAAGCTAGAGAGAGTAAATACGTAGATCTTGCAACTACAGCAGAAGGAAATATAAAATTTTATGATACAACCAAGGATGTAATAGGGAAACATAGTAAACCAGAACGACTAATCAAGTACAAATAAAGAAAATTATCCAGTGCGGTTCAAGAGCAACGGAACATGTGGGTAGATCACTTTGATTAGGCCAGCCCCACTACACTCACCAGACATCAAAACGACACACACGAACCTCCCACAGATGATACTGCACCAACAATGGGAGGAAACAGAGAGACTATTGGAAATATCGAGAATGGTGGATCAGCAGGACCAAGCAGCATAACGAATGAAGTCAGACATAGAGAAAACTGCTGAGATGACCCACGTTCTCTCTGAAAAGTCATGAGTTTTAAATATAATCATAAATCCTTGCGTCAGTATGCGAACGAGTGTGAAACTAAATTCAATAACGTTCCAAAGTCCAAATATTACATACACTTAGTCAATGTAGACTTAGGTAAAAACGTTTTTCGATACCTCTTTAGCACGAGACTGTATTGTATTCCTTAATTCTTTGACCTGTTGGTTTGACGGTTGTATCACCAATATATTATCACAACACCGAGTTGCGTTTTCATAGTCCTATGAGGTGTTACGTAAGCAAACGCACTTACTGACAGCTTAGTGTGAGCTACTGCCAAATAAAACAAACAGTCACGCCGTAGACTATCATCTTTTGTGCGATTAAATAATTCTGCAAGTAGTATTATTTTACTGGGACAAACCTTCTAATAACTTAACGGAGAGATTAAGTGCCTCTTTACGAGTAGTACGGAGGAGGTCAACAGCATAAAGGAACTGAACTCCATCATCTACTATGCCACTTTCTTCCATGACAACAAAAGCATCTCTTGATTCCTGACAGAAATTAAATATAAAACGTCAATTACTTGAATGGAAGATATGGGTTCATTCTTATCAAGCAAATCCATGTTTGAAGAATCTCGTTAAATGATTTTGACAACTATAATGATAAATAAATCCGTGCGTGACTTGTGACCAAAATCTCAACCTGTGAAAAAAAGCCGGTATGAGAAAAGAATGAACATGTTTATCTGGCATGAAATTCGTTTAAAACTGAAGATGGCGTAAAACCTAGTTAAGTAAATTTTTGAACGGTTTTCATCGGTGAAAAAATACTACCTCTGATGTAGAGGCATTTATAATGTATAAATATGGTTTTAAAGAAAATAGAAGTGGGTCAACTTTGACAGCAACGTACCATACACCGAGTGGCTTGACAGGTTAGCAAACTAAACTACTTTACCACGAATTATGAGGTGACTTGGTTACGACGTGTAGGATACTGAGGAACGGTTTTGGACCAGAAATATTTTCTCTTGTTCCCTATTAGTCTATGACAACTGAGAGGACATAGGAGGTAAAATCGAAGGCCAATAACGAAAAGAATCTATTTAATGCACAGGTTGTTTTACAAACTAGTAAACTCTCATCAGACAATGATGGAGTAGAAGTGTTCACTTTTTTGACTGACTCATTCGCGAGATTAGATATGTACAAGAACGGGAAGTTCAGTCCTAACATGATTTGCATTTTTCAAGCTTTTGCTGTTTCCTTACGCAACAAAAGCACCGTTTTTGATCCAAAGAATCTGTCCTAAGCTCAACGTTCGGTAAATTACTTTTCTTTTTGAGTTTCTCCAAAGTTAATAGTTGACTGTAATTGTACCTCAAATTACTATTCCATTTTTCACGTCAAGGCTAGTTTTAGTTTATCGTAACCTTCTGTACCATCCGTTTTGAATGTACTGTTTTTTTTTGTTTTGCGGTCGTAAACTTTTTCTAGGATCTATTCATCAATCCACATCACCATGATCATGAAGAATTTATGCAAGCGACTCGGATGCCGTTTCGCTGTCACCTATGGCGTGGATTGTGACAAATGCAAAAGTTGGTTTCACGAAGTATGCACAGATCTTACAGTAACTGCTTACATCAGACTTAGCCGAATCGTAGGTTGGTATGTAGCACGTGTAAAGTTAATGCCGAGCAACATTATCATTCTCTTGACAGGTCTGCGGAGAAATTTGTCATAAAATCGAAAAAAAGATAGTCCTATAACGGGTAAACAGACGAGGACACGCAGTGAAGAAAAGGGGGACCTCAACAACGGTAGTATCGATGGGACATGCATCTACACTAATGTGGACATGCTAAAGCTCAGCTGATGACGTGAAACTTTGGAGATACGCAACGAAGACGATATACAGGCACTTCAGGAGGATCTGACTCGACTTCAAAGTTGGGCAGACGATGACGGACTTACCTTTAACACTTCAAAGTGTAAAGTAGTCCATCTGCGACGTCTCAGACTACAGTTACAACTTAAGAAATTCCTCTCTATTATTATCCCAAGCAGAAAAAGACTTAGGAGTCCTGGTGCCACACGATTCAAAGTCTTACGCTAACTGTGACAAAAATACTTTTCGAGTAAACCTTGCACTGGTAACATTGAAGCGCATTTTTGGCCACTTTGACGGAAGAACTTTCTATATAATCCTCAATAGTTTTATCCGTCCCCATTTAGAGTACGGAAACATAGTACTTCCTCCCTCACTACAAAAGGGTAAGGACACTTCGGAGTGTATCCAGCGGCGAGCCACGAAACCAGTTCGAGGACTCAAATTTAAACCTTATAAAGGGCGCCTCCAATCACTTAAGCTTTACCCATTAGAGTACAGACGTCTTAGAGGTGACCTTTTGATGGCTTACATTATCCTTAACACTTCTGGATATTCTCTTAAACACCTGCTTAAGCTTAGTTCCAACACTAACCTAAGGGGTAACACCCGAAAGTTGGAGACACAACACAGCAGAACGGACTGTAGACACAACTTCTACTCCTTAAGAGTTGTCAAATGCTGGAATTCGCTGTCGGCAAGCTAGTCCAAGCGACTTCTCAGGAGTCCTTCAAGAGGAAACTTGATCTATTCTTAAGGACTAAGGATAGTGTCATATTATGATTTACCAACTTCTTTTTTCTCTTTTATCGTTAACAGACCTAGGTTCCTGCCTGGAAGTATTGGTGATCCCCTGCTACTAGACACGAAAGCCTGTTAAGCAAAAGCTTCTTATATTCCGTCCACAACCATTTGAACCATTTGAACAGAAGCCTGTCAGGAAACTCAGTTGTTGAAAAACAAATTTGAATTAGGAGTGTATTTCCAATTGGAAGAAATATTAATGTGGTTCATGTTAAAGACAACTATTGTTCTCAGGTATTTAGTTAACATACGAAATAGTTTTTAAACAGCCTCTAGTTAGTAGTGAAGTTGGCTAGTGTAATCAATATCAAACGAAATCTACAAACTTTATTTGAACTCTTTCACTCATGAATTACAAGGTGATATTTGAACGAAAACTTTCATAAGCAAAGAGAACAGGACAACAGATATATTTACCTGCATGGTGCACCAATGATCTCTCAAGAAGCAACTACCTGGATGTTTAACTAAATTTACTTAGATTTCGTCAATTTTCTACTAAGACTTAGCAGGCTCAGTGCTTAATATCACACTCAACTTTAATAAGCTATATCCGAGTAACGCATGTTTTTAAGTAATGCAATAATCAATACCTTTCAGTTTCAATAATAAGGATACGAAGTCGGCAACGCTTCAAAGGTATCTCCCACTGATGGAGGTTCAAATGGTTCAAATGGTTCAAATGGTTGTGGACGGAATAGAAGAAGCTTTCGCTTAACAGGCTTCCGTGTCTAGTAGCAGGGGATCACCAAATCCTCCAGGCAGGAACCTAGGTATGTTAACAATAAAAAGGAAAAGAAATTGGTAAATCATAATGTGATGCTGTCCTTGGTCCTTAAGAATAGGTCAAGTTGCCTCTTGAAGGACTCCTGAGAAGTCGCTTGGACTAGCTCGGCCGGCAGCGAATTCCAGCTTTTGACAACTCTTAAGGAGTAGAAGTTGTGTCTACATTCCGTCTTGCTATGTTGTGTTTCCAGTTTCTGGGTGTTACCCCTTAGGTTATTATTCGAACTAAGCTTAAGTAGGTGTTTAAGAGGATGTCCAGAAGTGTTAAGAATACTATAAGCCATTAGTAAATCACCTCTAAGACGCCTATATTCTAGTGGGTAAAGGTCTAGTGAACGGAGGCGTTCTTCGTAAGGCTTAGATTTGAGTCCTCGAACTGATTTCGTGGCTCGCCGTTGGATACGCTCCAAAGTGACCTTGTCCTTTGGAGTGAGGGGGGAGTACTATGTTTCCGTACTCTAAATGGGGACGGATGAAACTATTGAAGATTGTGTGGAAAGTTCGTCCGTCAAACTGTCCAAAAATGCGCTTCAACGTTACCAGTGCAAGGTTTGCTCGGAAGGCATTTTTGTCACAGTTAGCGTAAGACTTTAAGTCATGGGGCACCAGGACTCCTAAATCTTTTTCGACTTGGGATACTACTAGAGAGGAGTTTCCTAAGTTGTAACTGTAGTTTGCGACATGTCGCAGATGGACTACTTTACACTTTGAAGTGTTAAAGGTAAGTCCGTTATCGTCTGCCCAACTTTGAAGTCGAGTCAGATCCTCCTGAAGTGCCTGTGTATCGTCTTGGTTGCGTATCTCTCTCCAAAGTTTCACGTCGTCGGCAAAAAGTAATAAGTCTGACGTTACCTGTTGAGGAAGATCATTTATGTAGATCAAGAAGAGAAGAGGCCCTAGTACTGAGCCCTGGGGGACCCCACTAGGACATTCCATAGCCTGAGATAAAGTGAAATTAACCCTAACCTTAAAGTGTCGATTTTTTAGGTATGAAGTAAGCCAATCGATTAGAGGTGGTTTGATACCTAGTCGTTTGAGCTTGTTGATAAGACACAAGTGGTTAACCTTATCAAAAGCTTTTGAGAAATCAAGGTAAATGACATCAACCTTTCCCTTGCAATCGAGGATGCTTGTCCATCTGTCCACCGCAGTCAGCAGGTTGGTTATACAAGAGTAACCCTTCCTGAAACCATGCTGTTGGGGTGAGAAGAAATTTAAGGACAGTAGATAGTCATTTAAACCGTCGCATATCAGGGACTCCATGAGTTTTGAAGGTAATGACAGAAGAGCCACCGGCCGATAACTTGAAGGTTCATTGCGTCGACCACCTTTGAAAATTGGTGTGATGTGAGCCAACTTCCAGTTTTCCGGTAATTTGCCTCGGCTAAGCGAGTGTGAAAACATCACGCTAAGCGGCGTTGCCAGGATTGAGGCTGCCTCCCTCAGTATGGCAGGATGAACCATATCCGGGCCAGGAGAAGTGTCAAGTCTTAAGTGCTGCAATTTCCGGAACACCAAGTCAGCGCTTAGGTCCACTTCAGAAAGTCCTGTGGAGTTGGAGATGAAACTGTCGTCAATAAAGTTGATGTCAGCCGGTTGAAATGTTTGAGAGTAATGGGCCGCCAGAAGGTTAGCGGCGTCGCCATCGTTGTTGGTCGGGCCGTTAAGACCTAGCAGTTGAGAAACTCCTGTTTTGGCTTGACGAAGAGAGGCTGCATAACGGAATAGGCTTCTAGGGTTAGAGGCGAATTTGTCCATAAGCTTTGTTTGGTACTGAAGCCTGTCTTCTCTTATAGCCTTCGTGCATGTGTTCCTGATATGTTTGTATTGCCTATACGCTCCATCGTTATTAGTTCGTTTGTATTCCGCTTGAAGGTCAAACTGTCGCAAGATGATAGGTGCGTCGCATCGACAATTCATGAAGTTTTTTCAGAAGCTGTCAAATCAAGACATTTCTAGATTTCAGTTGAGTTCAGCCACACCATGTCTAATAACTTCCATTCTTCAAGTAACGAAGACGATGACATCGTGATGATGCATGATATAGGACGAATCTTCAATGATATTATTTTATCTCGAAGATTTACAAGCTGGGACAATTTTGAGACCTGTTTGAAAGAAGTACATAAGGTAGGTACTTTTACCGTTTCAAAAAGGGCAGTGATTTTTGTACTTGTTGTGATTATACTTGCTTTGGGTACTTATTGCACCAAAAAGCATTTTTGGTCTACTTTAACTTAAAGTACTTTGGTTAAAGTTTGAAATTTTTTGCTAAATTTTGTCCTGAGTACCTTTTTTTACTCCTGTCTAACACTTGTGTTCACACTGTGATCATTTAGTATGTTTTAAAGCTTTTAAATCGAATTACAATGGTTGGTAAGACTCGCAAATGTGGGCAACCAAATTTTTTGTTCCCTGTGGAGGAGGGAATGCAATGTAACGATTGTAAAAATTGGTACCACAAAATGTGTACACGACTAAGTCCGACGGCTTACAAAAGATGCTCGAAGCCTAACTCGCATTGGCTTTGTATGTTCTGTTGTACGGATAAAAAGGTACTAATTCAGGAGGCTATGGGCCTATTGACTTTGGCCTACAAGAAAAACGATAACGGAAGCAATGATAACAAGAGCATTGACGGAGAAGAATGTGTCAGTGTAGTAAGTGCTGCTACCGGACCCTTTAAACACCTGACTGTGGTTGACGGGAACGTGAAATCTCCGTTGACATTAACGAGGAATGAAGTGCCACTTGATGTTGACATCGGCAGTCATACACCTCTAGTCGAAATAGAAGATCTGGATAAAACTGTCACCATTTCACGTAGTCCAGGTATGGCTGTCCTGAGTGGTGACAAATGGACTTCAGTAAGGAGAAAAAGAAATGGGAAGAAAAAGGCTGTGGGCAAAACGCAGCTGGTCAGCAAAGCATTGGAAGGGATGCTATCAGAAGAAAAATCCTCACTGCGTGACAAGACAGATCTCTCTGAGAGATCAGTCATTTTTCATTAGATAAGAGAATCTTCAAATAAAGAACCAAAGGCGAGATTTGAACACGATCTCAATCATATTAAGACATCATTAAGTAAACTACTCCCAGATACAGTTTCAGGGGTCAGTATTTGTAAGCTTTATAGAGTAGGAAAAAGGTGGATTCCGAAAGTCCTCCGAAAAACCACCTCCTAAAGGTTACATTCAACACGGTGAAAGAAAGGAACCTGATTCTAAGTAATTCACGTGAACTGATAGGATCCGGAATATATGTCCGTGAGGATCTCAGCCTAACTGATTGTCTTAAGAGACGAGCTGCAGAAGCGGAAACAAATGAACGTCGCCAAAACGGGGAACGAAACCTTGTTCTTAAGGGTTTTCAAGTTGTAAAAGTTCGGGGCAAAACGATCCCCAAGCCACTCTGGGTGGCAACGGAAAGCTCTCCACAGACTTGAAGGTATGCTACACAAATGCTCGCAGCCTGCTAAATAAAATGGCGGAGCTCAAGTCAGCGGTGGATAAAGAAAAACCGGACGTTATTGCTGTCTCGGAAACTTGGTTAACGTCAGAAGTGTTGGATAGTGAAATCCAGTTGACTGGTCCAATTCGAATCCCCTTTTATCCTGGCTCAAATCTTTTTTAGAAGAACGTAGCCAAATCGTTCGCTTTGGATCTTGCTACTCTAAACCTGTGAATGTAACCAGTGCGGTTATGCAAGGAAGTGTGGTTGGTCCATTACTCTTTCTCCTTTTTATCAATGATGTGTGTTCCGTCTTTCAGTATGGTAAGCCTTTCCTTTTTGCTGATGATCTGAAAGTAGTTTATTCATTCTCTTCTCCCACGAAAGAAAGCTATATTTCAGCGATAATCCAAGAGGAAATAAACAAGTTGTACAAATGGACTATTTCGTGGAATATGCCACTTAATGTTGACAAAAGTGGATTTATTCACATTGGTCGCTGTCTTAACTTAAATCTGACTGTACAGACACATACACTCAAACCTCTCAACACTGTTCGTGACCTGGGTTTAAGATATAGCAACAGTCTGAACTTTTCTGAAAACATTATATCTCAAGTATCCAAAGCTAGAAAGCTGATCGGATTGTTAATGATAGACTTCAATAATATCGAATCGAGATTGTTACTATACAGAAAATGTATCTTACCCATTCTTGAATATGGTATTTTAGTTTACAGTAATTGTAGACATACTGACCTGATTAGAATTGAAGGTGTTCAAAGAAAGTTCACCAAAGCTGTTCTGGGGTATTCCGATAACAAAGACTATTACCAAAGATGTCAACAACTCAACTTAGAACCTCTTTGGATCAGACGTATCAAATTAAATCTTGTTTTTATCTACCGGCTTATTAACGGTATTTCCTACTCTTCGGTATCCACCCCTTCATACCTTATGATATCATCCCACAATCTACGCAATAAGGAGAATATTCTAGCGATTCCAAGAACCCACACAAACTTACGTCAGAATTTTTTCCTTATTCGCTACTCAACCATGTGGAACAGACTGCCAGTGAACCTCCGTTGCAGTGAAACTACAACCCGGTTCAAAAGTCTCCTTGACGATTTTCTTTCCGAAAGTGGATTATGTCACCTATTGAATATCAATGTATTCAATAATGAT